CCAGCCCCATGCCTTTTCCTCCTCTGCCCCCTCCTGCTGAGGCAATGAGTTGTGGTTTAATTAACTCTGCCTTAATGGGTGCACAGCAAGACGGAAGGGGGTTGGAGGTTGCAGGTTTGCCACATATGGCACTCTGTAACGCCGCTGCCCTCCAGAGATAAGCGAGGAACGGCTCGTGTTACATGTGACAAAAAAAAAGGTCTCCTCCTGACATGCTGGCCCCGATCTACAGACGTGTACAGTGTGCGTGGATGAAGACGATGGTCCACCTTGTACGTAGAAGCCGAGGAGAGAATAGACCGAGCAGAGTGCTAATGACATGCAAGCCAGGCAGGCACATGAATTCATTCTTACAGTCTCTGCCGCCTCGCAGACAAGGTCTAACCTCATTTTATCCTTCATGTAATACGGCGAGTGTAATGTGCTGATACTCTGACTGGGGTTAAGCTTTTGATCAGGCTGTTATCCCAAACTGGCCTGGGGATGAAAAACAAAGGAGTCGCATCTGGATTTTTTGAAAAGCGCGATGACACTAAGAGCAAAGACGTTCTGCCACTGAAAGGATTTGTCACTTTTGCATTTTCCAGAGCTGACAATGATGACCTGTAAAAGGGATAAAAGCCAATGGTTCCCAAATCCTTAACCTAATTTTCCTCAACAAAATAATGTCCTCATTATGCATCTGGTACATGCTTGTTCAGGCCCATGATTGATTTTGTAGGGAGATGAGCATGGCTGTAGAAATCACAGTATAATAAAAAAGGGAGTCGTCTGAGTTTCAACTTTTAATGAGGTGAAACTGTTAATCCACACATCCCATTCCTCTCACACCAACCTGGACGTTGCTGTTATAATACAGTCTTTACCTCCGGACTGCCAGGAAAATTCAGCCACTTGTTATCTCCCACAGTGCCGTTTGCCTTCATTAAAACCACCTCCTTCTGCCTTTATCTCCGCCATGAAACTGAGCCTGTGTATGCCGGCTGCCAAAAAAAGGTCTAGGCGGAAGAGAAATTAGAGATCCTGGTGGAAAATGATTGGAGGAGAGATGTGAAGCAGCGAGGTCCGAGATCAAAGGGAGTCACCAGTAATTAGAACACACGCTGAAGAAGGCAGACGTTGGCAGAATTCAGGAGTTTTAGCTGGAAAATTACCTGTTGAGCCGTTCAAATGTGAAATGAGAGCCACGTTGCGCTGAAGTGGAGCGACTTAGAGACAAAGCTTCGCAAAGTCAGACTCACCGGTCGCACTGCTTTCCCAAGGCACTGTGACAGACGTTGAAGTGAGGAAATAATCTCACCTATTATCCGACTCCCTCTGTGTGTTTCAAGGCCCCTTTTCTCCCCCACCTGTTTGGGCGAGGATATTATTTTAAATATTCTTTTTTGCTTAAACTTTGTCACTTTTACTAATCAGAGAGACAACATTTTTCAGGCCGGGGACCTCCTGATGGAGAAGGTATTAGGTTACAGAAAAAGGTTAGGGTTCACTTGTTGGATAAATGACCTTAAAACGAGCTTGAAAGGGTGCGCATGTCTGGTAAACAAAAGTCTCATTTTCTCCATTTCCTTTGTTGGATTGCAGGTGTTCTGCATTTTAAGACATTAATATTTAAAAAATGTCATCAAGATGTCTGTCATCTTGAAGATAACAAATTTACAGACACAATATGTAAGTGAAATGTGAGGGTCTGTAGACTGGTTATTATTGTTGAGGACAATGGCTTCACCACAGTTTTGAACGTTGCAACGATCAATGTTTTCTACAAGTCATCGTCAAGATACAGAGTAACGGCTGAAATACCTTTAAAATGAGATTTCAAGTTATAGGTTTAATTTTTCCTCTTTTTATATGAATAATATATATATACGCAGTATTCCTCTTTTTATATGAATAATATATATACACAGTACATACAGTGTGTTATGCTATTTAATAATTAAATGGTTTATTTATTTTTGTAATCAAATGCAAACCATCAGACCTCCAGGTGAAATGAATGTACAGATTACAGAGAAGTTGTATAAAAATCATAATTCATTTATTCTTACATACGTTCATTAATACACACACCTGACAGTTGCTGTGCACATACTTGATGTGTTTTCTCAGCTGAGGCTGCGTGTACCAGTATTTTTATGTGTATACATTTCCGGTCTTTGTTTCGCAGGGCCACTCCGAGACGCTGGCGTGCCGTAAATGTCACCCGTCGTCAGCCGTTTGTGCAGCACATGCCCTTGTAGGAGAGAAGGAGAGTGCCGATGTTGCAGATCCCAGACTTTGATTTAGACACGAAAGGCAGACCGGCGGCAAACGCACCCAGGCGTGAAGGTAAATTCCCATAATTCACAGTTGAAAGGTTATCCAGTGGCGCGCTCCGCTCCTCCCTCATGTTAGCCACTAACAAATGTCAACTAATTGAAATAAACTCAATTCTACATGTGTGTGAGACAGAGATGGAGAGAGTTAGTAGTGTGTGTTTGCTGCTGCAGATCGTGTAAAACTGATCTACGGTGTTTGTCATGGACAGGACAAATCTGCAGCGTTGGTCTGAATCAGCACACCTTTACTCAGCCTCTTCATGAACACCACAAGGGCATTAGCTACACACACAGATATATATATAATGTAGGTTCCTCACTGGTGGCAAATGGGTGGATTACATTCCTAACAGCCCTAGCAACCAATAACTGTTAAATTATACACAAAATCCTTTTTAATATGTGTAGAAGAAGTCATTAAATTACAGTAAAGTCACGTCACAAGATACAGTGTGTTTTACATTATTGACTGAAATGATGCTTTGTCATGGTCACTTTCTAGATGTCTAAGTTTGACAAAACTGAAAAAAAAATCTTAATCACACATGGTTTCAGTATAATATAATTAATGATAATGTCTCCTCACTCTATCAATGGCTATGTCTGTGATTTTGTTGGTTGGGGAGGGGGGGGGGCGCTATGTATTGACTTGTTCAATTGTTCTCAATGACTTTGTGAAGTGAACTAGGCAGACTGTATTTGTTGAATCTTTGATTGTCTGATTTACCTACGGTCTTGGCTCAAGGTTGTTGTTTTTTGTCTTTTCCACAAACTGTTCAGTCCTATTTCTTCTTGTTAAAGTGTAACTGTAAAGTAAACTGAGCAAATCTTTAAAAATGTCCTTTGAAGATCTGTAGCTGTCGGCTCAGCGTCAATTGTTGAACATTTTAAATCATTGTTAGATACAAAAAAAGCAAAGAGTTTAAAGAAACATTCAGGACATTTCTCTGATGACTAGTTGACTTATCACGAAGGAACAGGAACAAAGGCAAGATGTTTTAGGTGTATTTCTTCTTCTTGGCCCCTCCCTTTCTCTCCTGGAGTTAAATGAATATCCACACACACACACACACACACACACACACACACAACTGAAAATATGGCATAAATTTTACATGACAGCCCCCTGCTTCATTATAGCCCATGAGTTATTAGCTAATTTGCGGCCGTGAAATTTCTAACCACTATGAGTGAACTGAGGTGTCGAGAGTTCGCTAAATGTGGTGTCTGGAATTTGATGTTTGATGGGCACCTTCTGGTGAGGAGTGTGTCTGTGTCGGTGTGTGTCAATATGACAATGGGCACCTTCTGGTGAGGAGTGTGTCAGTATGACGGGAGATATGCAAGGATGACTATATGGTGTGTTTTTTTTTTTTTTTGAAAATGCAGTGGAGCATATTTTTTGCTGCCGATGCATACAATAATTCGATTGTCTTATTATTTTTTATTTTTTTTTTTTTTGAAAATGCAGTGGACCATATTTGTTGCTGCTGATACATACGATTGTCTTATTATTTTTTTATCTATCACTTTTTATGTGGTTATATTGAATTCCATGTGTGTGTTTCTGGCAAATTTGTTTGTTGTTGCTTAAAGGCAGAGGCGCTTGAACTCGTCTTTTTGTTACTTTTGTAACGACAATATTTTTAAAACCAAGGTTTTGTTTGTTTAAATCTACTTTACACTTTATTTTGTGTTTTTATAGTTCAACAGTGGTGGGACAAATTTAGTCCCAAAACCCATCATTTTGCAGTTTGTGGCCTGGTTTTATCGAAGCTGAATCTTGTACACGTCAAGACATAAGACGTGGGTTTTTTTTTTTTCTTTTCTTTTTTTGTTGTTGTCTTTCAGCTTATCTCAGATGAACTCAGATCCAGTCAACTTGACTTGACAGGATGTTATAAGCTGCAGGATGTCTGTACAGTGGAAGAGGGACAGTACTATTAAAATGTCAGAAAAGTTGTCTAAAGTAAGTGCTTCAGCTTTTCTGGCGATGTCAATGTCAGCACCACGGACAGCACCGTATTTGCCATCCTCCCAATTCAACGAATTATACTCTCCATGTGAGCCGCACACGTTCCGTATGGATTTCATTTTAGCACCTTTTAACCGGAGGGCTTTGGGGGTGGGGGGAGGGTGGAGGCTGGAGGGGTAGCTTCAGTTCAGGGTCCATATTCACCTACCTCCAAACTCTGGTAAAAGACCCTGATGATGACAAGGTCTGTTGTTATTCTGCACATTCATTCAGATTTTGTTAAATACAGAAATTTGATTACTATGTAATTTATGTGTATATATTTATATACATATACTTGTGTGTATACATACTTATGTGAATGTATATACTGTAAATAATATATACATATATATTTAAAGGTGGGGTATAGGTGACAAAGGAACAGCACAACAACACTGTGTGTAGACCCCGTGTCCCACTGTGGGGAAAGCTTAGCAGCAGCTCAGGTCAGCGAGGTGAGGTGTGTTCAGCTCGACTGCAGCCTCGCACTGACCTCACTGCCGCCAACCTTCCAGGAAATTACAGCAGGGACTGAGACGCAACATACACTCCCTCAGCACCACACGCACATTCTCACACACACACACGTGCATTTTGAAGAGAGCAACGAAATAATTTGTCGTCGTTTTATTTTCCAAGGTCCTCTGTCCCTTTAGAAATATTACTGTATGTAATACGTTTTCTAATTGTTTTATTTGAAGTCGTTCATCCAACAACCATCACTGTCGGAGAGATGAATAACTGTCACTTTTTACCCTGTTGTAAAGACATGTCATCAACTGGCAAGTATCGTTTTAAAGCCTAAGTGTTGTGACAGCATAGAGACTCATGGCTTTATCACATTTCAGTTCATTAGTATAAAAATAAAAAATGGTTTGTTAAAGAACCATTGCTTTGTCAGTTAGTCAAACGTTGAACCGGTGGTTTTAAAACTTGCCCGTGAACAGTGAGCCGCCGCCCTGAGCCGTGGGATGAAGACGATCCGGCCGCTCACCTCTGACATGTCAGCTAAGTAACTGAGATCCTCTCACTGAGCCCTGCTGTTTTCAGCCTCACTCTGTGTGCAGCATAAAATCAAAGAACAAAGGTCATGACCTTCTGACCTCTTCCTCAAGTTTGTTTTGGTGTCGTCATCAAATACTGAGATTTGCTCTTTCAAACATCTGTTGGTGACACTATCAATGAACAGATTAGAACTTATAATATATGAGGTGAACTGGACTCAGCTGCTGCTTCCAACTTGTTGCTTTTGTTTTTTTGTTTTTTTTTTTGCTGTAACTACAGTAATTATTTCTGCATATTTTGTTCTTTCTTTCTAAATTACCCTGTTGTTTCCTTCCCGTGGTTTAGTGTTTAGCTTTTGGGCCGTAACTACAGTAATTATTTCTGCATATTTGGTTTAGTGTTAAGCTTTTGGGCCATGGTGGCAGCATGGCTTCTCAGGTCTGTGTCTGGTCAGTTGACAAAAAGAACAGACCAATATTTGTCTCACCTTCATGCACTGCTACATGCAGACCTCTAGGACTCTGGACTGAAGTCTTGTGGTGCACTTTTCATCCATTTGTTTCTAGGGTTGAAAAAAAACAACTTTCCCCTGGCAAAGTCCAAATCTCACTGTGACTCTCTTTTCTCTGCTCCACAATCCCATTTCTTATCAGTGGCTCCCATGTTGAAGAGGACGCTGGCAGCTCAGCTCTAGGGTTGGAAAAGCCTGATATTAAGAGAGAGAGAGAGAGAGAGAGAAAGATGCTGAGAAGAAAGACGGAGACGGGTCACACCTCACCCCGTCTTCTACTTTGTCTGAACCCTCTGTCCTCTCCTCTGTGTATGTCCACACATGCACGCTCTTAAACGTGCACAGTTTTCACTTTATGTAGACTGAAACATTTTGTTTTTGATAACCACACATGCACGCTCTTAAACGTGCACACTTTTTACTGTATGTTGACCAAAACATTTTATTGTTGATAACTTCACACACACACCTCAGGTCTTAGGAGCAGGTAGGGTGCAGGGGGGGGGGGTTAAGGGCGGGGGGGGTGGAGAGGATGGCTCTCCAACACGCAGTGTGATCTTACATTGTTTTGTGAAAAGCTCTGATGATGAGAACTTCATTTAGGCCGCACACGAAAAAGGAGAACTGAAGAACAAAGAGGAGAAGGAGTGTAGACTGGAGATGGAACACAGATGAAAGGAGACAAGAGGCAACATTTTAAAGAAGGATTCGAAAGAATGTGTAATGGTTATTAAAGAAAATTAGGAACTTTAATGATTGTAAGCTAGTTACAGTGTTGCCCTTTATTATAATAATTATAAGCACATTTTGTCGCTTTAAAAACATTTATTTTGCATTCATTTAAATAGGTTTTCTTTTTTCTTATGAACTGCAAGCTCAAAGAAACTGAAAATGTTACATTTTTTAGACACTAAAATTAAAAAGACATTCCCCCTTAAATAAAACGGTAAATGTTTTACAGATGGTTTTTTAATGCACTTTTTTATTAGTCTATATTATATATATTATATATATATTTTTCAGATAATTAGCAGAAAAAAAATGTCTTTAAAGGTTCAGATAATTAGCAGAAAAAAATGTCTTTAAAGACTATAGCCTGATTTAATCGGACTAATTGTTGAATCATTTGTCTTTTCTTCCCACTGTGTTTATATAAACGGCCAGTAGTGAAAGACTAAATGAACATTTAAGGAAAGGTCAGTCTCGCGTCCAATTTTGCCAAAGCACCAGTGTGCGTTGTTGTTAACTCACGTGCAAACAGATATGATCTTAAAGTGGCTGGCCCTCATCAGGTCCTAACGCTGCGGTGATGCTGGAAACAGCATCTGAAGGAGAGCGCGTCACATCTCCTCTCTCCTCTCCCCTAATTTGCATTGCATACTGAAATGCATGAACTAGGCCCATTAAGTGAGGGGCCGTGCTGTGTTTTGGTTGTAAGCAGGGGGAGGGGGGCTGTCATATCTTTTGATTTGCTTGA